CATCATCAGCAGCAACATCATCATCATCGGCATCGTGGTCATCGTCTTCAGCAGCAGGATTAGCATCATCAGCAGCAACATCATCAGCATCATCATCGTCGCCATAAGATTCAACATCATCATCATCACCACCACCATTTCCATCATCATCAACATCATCAGTATCAGCATCGTCATCATTTTCAGCAGCAGCCACATCATCAACATCATCATCAGTACCATCATCATCAACATTATTAACTTCATCATCATCAGCATCATCATAATCATCATCAGCATCACCATCTGCATCTGCATTATCATGATCCATTTCAGCATCATCAGCATCATGAGCAGCAGCATCATCATCCTCTTCAGCATCATCTGCATCAGCATGACCATTATAAATCATAAGCACTATCAGCATTATCATCGTCAGCAGCAGCGCCCTCAGCAGTAGCACAATCAGCATCATAATCATCATCAGCATCGTCGTCATGAGCAACATCTTCGTCATCAGACTCATCATCATCACCACCACCATCATCATTATCATCGACACCATCAGCATCGTCCTCATCATCAGCAGCAGCATCGTCATCACAACATCATCATCAGCATCAGCATCATGTGCAGCAGCATTATCAGCATCATCAACATCATCATCAACATCATCATAATCATAATCATCATCATAATCGTAGTCATCAGTTTCTTCAGCATCATCATCATCATCATCATCATCATCATCATCTGCATCATCGTCGTCATCAACATCAGCATCATGATCATTCGCAGCAGCATCATCAGCATGGTCACCAGATTTCTCATCATCATCAGCATCATCATCAGCATCATCATCAGCATCATCATCAGCATCGTCGTCATGAGCAACATCTTCGTCATCAGATTCATCATCATCACCACCACCATCATCATTATCATCGACACCATCAGCATCGTCCTCATCATCAGCAGCAGCATCGTCATCACAACATCATCATCTGCATCAGCATCATGTGCAGCAGCAGTATCAGCATCATCAACATCCTCATCAACATCATCATCATCATCATAATCATAATCATCAGCATAATCGTAGTCATCAGTTTCTTCAGCATCATCATCATCATCATCATCATCATCATCATCATCATCATCATCTGCATTATCGTCGTCGTCAACATCAGCATCATAATCATTAGCAGCAGCAGCATCAGCATGGTCACCAGATTCCTCATCAGCATCAGCATCATCATCAGCATCATCATCAGCAGCATCATCATCATTAGCACCAGCAGCATCATCTTCTTCGTCAGATTCATCATTATCAACATCACCACCCCCACCACCACCACCACCACCACCACCATCATCATCATCATCATCATCAGCATCGTCGTGATCATCATCAGCAGCATCATCATCACCAATATCATCATCATCATCATCAGCAGCATCATCGACATCATCAACATCATCACCAACATCATCAGCAGCATCATCAGTATTATCATCGACATCACCATCATAATTGTAGTCATCAGCTTCATCATCATCATCATCGTCGTCATCATCATCATCTGCATCATCAGCAGCAGCATACTCATCATCAGCATCATCAGCAGCAGCAGCATATTCATCGTCGCCAGTATACACAACATCATCATCATCATCATCATCATCATCATCAGCATCACCTTGCCCATCATATTCACCATCATTACCAATTTCACCACCACCACCATCATCATCATCGACACCATCAGCATCGTCATCATCATCAGCAGCATCATCATCACCATCATCATCATCAGCAGCATCAACATCGTTTGCAGCGGAATTATCAGCATCATCAGCATCATCATCAACATCACCATCATCATCAGCATCATCATTATCATCAGTTTCATCATCACCATCATCTGCACCATCATCGTCATCAACATCAGCATAATGATCATTAGCAGCAGCATCATCAGCATCGTCATCAGATTCATCATCATCATCAGCAGCATCATCATTATCATCAGGATCGTCGTCATCATCATCATCATCAGCAAAAGCAGCATCACCAGCACAAGCATAATCATCATCATCAGCATCATCATCATTAGCAGCAGCATCATCTTCGTTACCAGATGCATCATGATCAGCATCACCACCACCCCCACCACCACCACCGCCACCATCATCATCATCATCATCGTCATCATCAGCATCATCATCAGCAGCATCATCATCACCAACATCCTCATCATCAGCAGCAGTATCGGCATCATCAACATCATCATCAGCAACATCACCATCAGTATCATCAGCATCAGCATCCTCATCATCATCCTCATCATCATCATCAACATCATAATTATCGCAATCATCAGCTTCATCAGCATCATCTGCATCATCAGCATCATCACCGCCATCAACATCAGCATACTCATCATCAGCATCATTAGCAGCAGCATCATCAGCATCGTCATCAGATTCATCATCATTATCATCAGCAGCATCATCATTATCATCAGGATCGTCATCATCATCATCATCATCAGCAGCAAAAGCAGCATCACCAGCACAAGCATAATCATCATCATCATCAGCATCATCATCCTTAGCAGCAGCAGCAGCATCATCTTCGTTACCAGATTCATCATGATCAGCATCACCACCACCCCCACCACCACCACCGCCACCATCATCATCATCATCATCATCATCGTCATCATCAGCATTATCATCAGCAGCATCATCATCACCAACATCCTCATCATCAGCAGCAGTATCGGCATCATCAACATCATCATCAGCAACATCACCATCAGGATCATCAGCATCAGCAGCATCATCATCATCATCGTCATCAGCATCAGCAGCAACATCATGATAATCGTAATCATCAGCTTCATCATCATCATCATCATCATCATCATCATCATCTGCATCATCAGCATCATCACCGCCATCAACATCAGCATACTCATCATCAGCATCATTAGCAGCAGCAGCATCATCATCGTCGTCATTCTACTCATAATCACCAGCATCACAAGCAGCATCATCATCATCAACATCATCATCAGCATCATCATCGTCATTATCAGTAGCAGCAGCATCACCATCGTCATCATCATAATCAGCATCATCATCAGCACATTCATCAGCATCATCTCCATAATTATCATCAGCATCAGTATCTTCGTCATCATGTTCAACATCATCACCATCACCACCACCACCATCATCATCAGCGTCGTCATCATCATCAGCAGCAGCATAATCATCAAAATCATCAGCAGAAGCAGCATCATCAACATCATCAACATCATCAACATCATCATCGTCATCAGTAGTATCATCGATATCATCATCATCATCATCATCAGCATCATCATCATCATCATCATCATCATCAGCATCATCATCATCTGCATCAGCATCATCATCAATATCAGCATATTCATCATTAGCAGCAGCAGAATCATCATCATCAGCATCGTTACCATCAACATCATCATCATCAGCATCATCATCAACATCATGGTCATCAGCATCATCATAATCATCAACAGTATCATCATTGTCATCATCATCGTCATCAGCATCAGCAGCATCAGCATCATCATCGTCATCATGTTCATCATCATCACCATCATCAGCATCATCACAATCATAAATCATAAGCGTTATCATCATGATCATCATTATCATCATCACCGTCATCATCAGAAGCAGCATCATCAGCAGCAGCATCATCAGCATCAGCATCATTATCAGCATCATCACCAGTATCATCTTCGTCATCAGATCCATCATCCCCACCACCACCATGATCATTATCACCATCAGCATCGTCCTCATCATCAACATCATCATCACCAACATCATCATCAGCAGCGGCAACATGGGCATCATCAACATCATCATCATCAACATTATCATCAGCATCATCCTAATCATCAGTTATCATCATCATGATCATTGTCATCATCATCATCATCATGATCATCATCCTCATCATCATCATCATCCTCATCATCATCATCATCATCATCATCTGCATCATCATCATCAACCTAATTAAGCATCATGATCATTAGCAGCAGCATCATCAGCATCGTCATCAGATTCATCATCATCAGCATCGGCATCATCATCATCGTCATCATCAGCAGCATCATCATAATCATCCTCCTCCTCTTAACTCGTTTGCAATTCTCCTCCTCCTCCTCCACCTCCTGCCTTCCATCTCCCCCGGCAACTCGGAGCGAGGGGAGGCCTGCCACGAGCCCCAGATCATCATCGAAGGTCAAAGGTGTCCCCGGCCCAAGTGGTCCTCAGCCATGAGCGAAGACTCGTCGGAAGTTGCTGGGCTGCTGAATGCAACGATGATGAAGAGAAACTCTTCGCGCCATTTTGGAACCCCCTGGGGCCTCTGGGGCCTCGTGAAGGGCGCTCTGGAGGCCATCCGGGCCTTCCCGGAAATCCTGGGGACACCCTGGGCCAGGGGCACCCTTCCGGCAGCACCCGACGAGAAGCAAGGAGGGGCCAGGGAGGCGGGTCCTGAATGCGATGCGCTCGTTGCTGCGCGAGGGGCCCCTTCCCTCCCCCGGCCGGGGGTCCACCTTGCCTCCTTGGCGCGCCTGGCCCAAGTAACCATGATTTCCACAGAGCGTCGACCCCCAGCGGTCTCGACCCATTCCCGGGACTGACTATTCAATCTGAGTTGCTTCTTGGACGGTACCGAGGCTCGGTAAGGGCCCCAGAGGCTGAAAATGGCGAGAAAACTCCTGCCGGGATTACGTCATGGCTCGAGGGGGTCTGGGAAGGTAACGGCCCGCATCGATCGCACCGACAGACAACCCCTCAGGCGAGCGATCCAGCCCTCGAGTCATGTTGTTCCCATCGTATTTAAGGACCACCTCCCAGAAACAATTCTGGGCACCCAGAAAAGTATCGAAACAGCATCGAACGAGTATCGCCTCCCGGGGCCCGACACGTGAGAACCCTCCCGTTTCGGCACTTTCCTGGTGCTCGAAAATCTTCCTGGTGATCGAGGCCAGTGTAGGCTGGAGCAGCCTAGCCCTCGAGGCCCCCGCGGCCCCGACCCAGCGGGGAGGTGCGCCCCCCCCTGCGCTGGCGGCGGGGTGCGCTCGACGCTCACAGGTCGGGGCGCGGCGGCTTCTGGATGCGCGGCCAGGACTTGGTGGGGATGATGTCATCGATGAGGCCGTACTCCTCGGCATTTTCTGCAGCGCAACAATCGGCCAAGGAACGGGTGCATGCCTGAGGTGATCCAAAAAATGTGCCGATCAATCGAATCGATCTCCAGCGCGAATGGGCACTGCAACGGCAAGATGCGCACGTCACGGAACACCCCCTGGAGGCGGCCGCACTCCTCGGCTGGTGGGCGGCTGAGGGGAACGAACTCGGGAGAGGCCAAGCCCGGACGGACGGAGCAAGCCCACACGGAGGCCGAGCACTCCGTGCGGACTTAGACTCCGCGCGGACGTGGCATCCGACCAGGAGCGGCGGAGCCCAGACGGCGAAAAGCCCAGACGGAGACCGAGCACTCCGTACGGGCTTACTCCGTGCGGGCTCAGCATCCTCCGACGAAGCGGGGGAACCTGAGAACCGTTTCACCGATCCCCATCCCCACCAGCGTGGGCTGGGCCCCACTGGCCGATTCGCCCCCCTTGATGGGGATCTAGGCTGCGATCTTCGGGCTTCGAGAGGCATACCCCCAACCGAGGTGGTGCGACGGTGGGGCTCGAGATGTGGATGGAACGGAACGGAACGGAACGGAACGGAACGGAAGTCTGCGCGCAAGCTCCGGTAACCGGAGCGGTCCCCTAGAGGGCAGACCGTGCGCTGATCATGTCGGAAAACGAATGTCGGCAACGAGCACACGCAGGAAAACGCGATTCATGAATCCTCTGGTGTGCAGGCTTTCGGTCAGAAAAACCCTGCCGGCTAAGAAGAGCGAGATGTGAATGGGGATGGGGATAATAGGGATCGGTCAAACGGTACGGAGAGCCGGCTCCGGGGGGGGTAAGATCACCGGCCTGGGCCCAGCGGGGCACGGCCGACGGATCGGCGACCAGGCCCCCGAGGTGGCAGCTCCGCACGCTCGAGGGCGGGGCTGTGGGGGACCTGGGCCCTGGTGTCAGGTCTGGCAGGTCCCCCTACGGGCGGATCTCTGACGACCAACGAAACACGAGCACAAAAAATACTCAGAAATGCTCAAAAATGATCGAAAACTCGTCCCCATATACGATTCTCAAACTATTTTTGGATGCCTATGCGACCACCCTTCGAGTGAGAAGGAGGTTGTGGGGGCGGGGGGGGAGAGGGGGGGGAACCAACATCTGACTCAATCGACCTTACTATCAATCTCAGTCAACGGGACACCACGGGACACCTGTCGATCTCGCTATCGATCTCACTATCGATCTCGCTCAACGGGACACAATGGGACACCACCGGACACCTCGGGACACCACATCGATCTCACTATCGATCTCACTATCGATCTCACTATCGATCTCACTATCGATCTCGCTCAACGGGACACAATAAGACACAACGGGACACCACGGGACACCACAGGACACCTCGGGACACCACATCGATCTCACTATCGATCTCACTATCGATCTCAATATCGATCTCACTCAACGGGACACCACAGGACACCACGGGACACCGCGGGACACCTGTCGATCTAGTTATCGATCTCGTTATCGATCTCATGTTTTGGAACACCACGGGACACCTCGGGGCACCACATCGATCTCAGTATCGATCTCACAATCGATCTCACTATCGAACTCACTCAACGGGACACCACGGGACACCTCGGGGCACCACGGGACACCTGTCGATCTCACTATCGATCTCACTATCGATCTCACTTTTTGGGACCACGGGACACCGCGGGGCACCACATCGATCTCAGTATAAATCTCACTATCGATCTCTCTATCGATCTCACTATCGATCTCACTCAACGGGACAACGCGGGACACCACGGGACACCACAGGACACCGCGGGACACCACGCCACCGCCGGACGGACGGACGGACGGGGGAGAATCATTTGTGTTGACTTCGCCCTAGCAACGGCGCACACCACGGGACACCACGGGACACCACGGATCACCGCGGGACACTGCGAGCCACCGCCGGACGGACGGACGGACGGAGGAGAATCATTTGTCTTGACTTCGCCCTAGCAACGGCGGGTTCATTCCTCTCGCGCGCCCACGCAGCTTCGCCTCGCCGGCACGTACGACACGAACGAAACGAAGCGATTTCCCCAGCTGGGGGTCTCCGTTCCACTGCGATCTCACCCCCCCACCTCCGATTCCTCCTGTAGAGGGACATGCCCGACTTAACCCTGGCTGGCGATGAATGGGCGGCGATCGGGGGTCGATACTTACCCCCCTGAGCCAGTCCCCGTCCCTCATGGTTTTCGGGCCATCTCTCCGGCGGCCGTTCGGGACGATCCGGGCACCCCCGGAGCGCTCTGGGCGAGGCGCAGCCGCTGGAAGGCACCCCGAAGCTGGAAAGCCGCGGAGAACCCACGAGAAACACAGAACAACCTCCAGCCTCGATCATCGAAACTTCGTCCCCCATGAGCCAGTCACCCCCCATGTCGTTGCCCCTGCACTGTGGGGCCACCCAGCAGGCCAGGACGCCTCGGGAGCGGCCGGGCAGATCCTCCAGCGGGCCCCCCGAACGACCAAGGTGGCACAGGACCGGCCAGGATGACGTGCGATCGTCCTCGGGCACCCCGCAGCTGTGCTCGGCTGCTCCTGGGGACCTCCCTGCCCCCCCAAGGCTCGGCGGCGAGCGAGGGGGGAAATGAGAAGGCGGAGGCCTTCTCAGAATGCGGCGGGACTTCTCAGAAGCCCTCGCGCCTTCTGAGAAGCTGTTTTGGCCTTCGAGGAAGGCTCAGGGAACTTCTCAAAGGCCGGGGGACTTCCGAACCTTCTGAGAGGGCCTTCTCCTGCTCACTTCCTCCCCTCGCTCGCCCCCGAAAGGGGGCCCAGCGTGGGCCACGGTCCTTGGCCTCCTCCGGCGTCATGAAGTTGTCCCGGTCGCAGTCCTCCTTGCGGGTGTGCCCGCGGGGGGCGGGCAGGCAGAGTGGAGGTAGCGCATCACGGGCCGAGGCGCGGACGAGGGGGGCCAGGGCATGCATCGAAAGAAGAAGAAGAAGAAGAAGAAGAGGAAGAGGAAGAAGAAGAGGAAGAAGAAGAAGAAGAGGAAGAAGAAGAAGAGGAAGAAGAGGAAGAAGAAGAAGAAGAAGAAGAAACGGGACGCACAGAGACATACTAGTACTATATGTCCTCCTCGGGGGTGCACGTCCGACCCTAACATATAGTACAAGCACATTGTACGATATTATTTCCCGAGCGGTGTGGCCAGAAAGCACCCGCCACGAAGCATATACTATCAGATTTCTTGTTGCGCGCGTCGCTCCTGGGGTGGCGACGCACATATAGAAGTCGCATGTTGGGGTGATACCGAAGAAGGGACAATGATATCTGGGATATATCAGCGCCCCAGCCATGATATCCACACACTCCTGCGGAGGGAAAGAACACGCGGACCTATGCCAAGACTGAGCACAGAAACGTCGGTGTCGACCTTGGTCATCGTCCATCTCGGTCACCGTCGATTCGTGGACAACCATCGCGACTCGGCGACAGCCAGCATGGACCGTGACCAATATCGGCGTCGACACGATCCCGCGACATCTTGGTCACGGTCATCTGTTTCTGCCCTCGAGCCTGGCTGCCCCCCCTTGACCCGGGTCAAACCAAACCCAGGTCAGTCAAGACTTGCAAAATCCTGCGAGATCCTGCAAGATCCTGCAGAATCCTGCACCCAAACCCGGGTCAGTGCGACCCTGGCCCTGCAGGATCCTGCAAGATCGGGCGCTGACCCCCTGTTTGCATTGACCCCCGTCTGGGGGGTCCCAAAACCGTGTGGTGACAGACCGTGCGGTGACCTCGGAACCCCGAGACCTCACCGCACGGTCCGTCACCGCACGGTCTTGGGACCATGGAAGCCCCAGCCGCCCGAGACATCCTCGGAGAACGACCCAAGTCCCAAAACCGTGCGGTGACCCCGAAGCCCCACCGACTCACCACACGGTGTGGTCACCACCCTGTTTGGGGGCCCCCGGTCTTGAGCCCGGATCGCCCGGCTCACCCCGGCAGCCGGCGCCCGAGGCCGCCTGCGCGCGCCCGACCTCCGCCGACTGTCCGCGGCCCGTCGGCCAGGCGTCTGGCGCGCGGCCCGTCGGCTCTGCGGCCGCGCTCGCGTCCGCCAGCGCTGCGAACAAAAAGAGCTACTCCTCCTCCTCCTCCTCCTCCGCCTCCTCCTCCTCCTCCGCCTCCTCCTCCTCCTCCGCCTCCTCCTCCTCCTCCTCCTCCTGCTCCTCCTCCTCCCTCACTTCCTCACGTCGTCCCGCCCGATACTATGTTTGGATATTCCTCCTGCAGAGGAACATGCCCGATTTAGCCCTGGTCATCACCCCCCTCTTGGACGCCCCCGATCCTTGATCTTATCCATCGTCTGCCCCGTGCAGTCGGCCAGGTGCTGGTTCAGGATCTCCCGCATGAAGAGGATCTCGCGGGCCTGCAGCGGGACGGGGCAGGCCGCAGCTGCGCGCGGCCGCAGGACGGGAGGGGAGGGGCCCACCTCTGGCACAGAGGAGCGGGGTCCGAGGAGGAGGCCCAGTCGCCCAGCAGCCCGACGATTGCACTTGCCAATGTCATCGGAGTTTCTCGGCGGTCCTCTCGCCTGCCCCGCCCCATGGCGTTGGCGCTCCTCTTGCCGCGACGGCCGAGGTGAGGCCACCAGTGCCCCCCGCCCACGGCTTTCACCGTGGCCCTAGGAGACGAGACCGTCAGTCGACTTGAGCGCTGCAACCAGGTCCTTAGGGCAACGGGACCTGGACCCCAGGGCTTTCTCCGCAGAGGGCAGAAGAGAACACCCTCAAAAGAAGCACCCCTACAAGCATAGTCCTCTCGTACACGCTATAGGGAAGGAGCCGAAGGCGCCAGACTGCTCAATAACCGGACAGGACTGTGTATCAAACGCTGGATATTGGGGTCAGGGATGGTTCGCTCCCTTGAACGAGGATCAGCTCTTCATCCCGAGACGTTTCCTGACGGTCCTGAGTCCGGGGGGGGGGGCCCGCGGGCCCCGAAAGCAGCGGCACGCCTCCAGGACGCGTTTCCCCCAGGGGCCCGCTTCCTGCACGGCGGCAGCAGCACCACGCCGAGCCAGGAGGCCCTGCTCTTCCGGGCGGGGCGGCGAGGCGGGCGCCGCGGCGGAGGGAGCGGAAGGGGAAGGCGCGGGCGAGGGGGCGTCGGAGGACGGGGGAGGCAGGCAGGGGAAGGGAGGCGCGGGAGGCGAGGGGGGTGAAGGAGCAGAAAAGACTTGAAGGGCAGATTTGGCGCGCTCGAGGCCACATTCGACGTCCCTTCCCCCTTGCGCTGGATCCCCTTCTGCCGCCGGCAGGGCCTTCCACGAGGACCCTGATCCCCAAGTGGCAGTTGCAAGACTTGACCCATCGGGGGAAAGGGAAGGGGGGAGAAATTTCAGGGGAGCGGAGGCCCAAACACCCCACGACGTCGTGCTTCTGTCGCAGCGTGGCTCCCCGGAGGTCTGGACCCCTGCCCCGAGACCAGCTCTCCTCTCCTGACGGCCCCGGGGCTCGGAGGCTGACAACGGCCGAACGCCTCCCGTATCGACGCGTTCACAGCGCGAGGATGCCTGGGAAGGCGGCCGTGCTTTTTGACGAGTGCCTCGAACCCGAGTCTTGGGCTGAAAAAAAAAAGCATCGGACAGGATTGACCAATGCAGGTGAGCCCGATTCTCCTGAAAATGGCTCATCTGGGTCCCATTCGGCCTCCCGTCGGAGGGCGGCCGGACCCTGAGAGCTGGTCCGCAGGCTCCGCCTGCTCGCACTCGTCCCCCGAGTCGGACCCGGCCGCGTCTGGGCCGAAGGGCTCGCACGAGACTCCTGGGAGCTTAGGATGCTCGCCGTTGCGTTGCGGAGACCGCGCGCCACAGAGGCATATTTGCCGAGGGCCGCTTTGGCCTCGGGCTAGCACACACACACACACATCGCAACTTCTTGAACTGCCCTCCGCTCAAGAGAACATGGCAGCGGCAGCAAGAGTAAAGGGAGGAGGGAGGAGGGAGGAGGGAGGGAGGGAGGGAGTGAGCGGGCCTGGATGCGGACGTCCGTGGCCTGCCCCTGCGCACCGCCCAGGGGCTGGTGGATCATGATGCGGGAGTTCGGCAGGCTCATGCGCTTGCCCTTGGTGCCCGCGGCCAGGAGGAAGGAGC